CAAGTTTAATAAATAATTCTGAAAATGAAATTAACAAATTAAAAAAAAAAGTATATAATATATTAAATGAACATGCTATTGATAGTACATCTGGTGCCCAAAAGTATTACTAGGTTATATAGAAACACAAAAAAAGAAATTATATTAAGGACAAGTTACAAAATTATCTGAAAAACAAAAGAAAATGAATGACAGTGACCTTAACGGTGATAAAAATAGTACTGGGAATAAAAATAAATATCATTCTAAACCAGGAGGGAACAAAACAAGGGTTTCATACGCAAGAGGATTTATAAAAATTTTAACTACTCGTTATGATATTGCATTAATTGTATTTAATCGAAATGATAAAAGTAAAATATGTAATATATTTTCTAGATTAAAAATTAAAGGGTAGTCACGTTTTTAAAAAGAAAGATATAGGAGCATTCATAAATGTCTGTATTGATTGGTATTATGATCACGGATGAGGATATGCATATATAAATGTAATCAAATAAAAATACAGTTAAAAAATTGCATAAAATCACAAATATATAATTAATGATATTAAATAAAGAATCATAAATTAAAATAGATAAGAATGAAATACATTATACATACAAAAACAAAATGCAAAATTATGATTTCATAAATACCCAATAATAACATCATTATATAAAAATATATATAAAAAGAAATTTAAAATTACTATATATTATAAAAGTATGCAGAATACCCTGTATTCCCATGTGCATAGAATAAAACATGAAAAACAGTTTAATGACGCAAAATAAAAAAAAAAATTAAAGTAAATAATACAGTATTAATACAAAAAACACTATTAATAAAAAAATATATATATATATAAATATAAAAAAATATAAGAAAATAATAAAAAAACAATAAATTCGCAAAAAAAAAAAAAGATATACGCTAAAAAACCTCGTCCAAAAATAGTAAATTTAACAGATAATACTAAACCACTATAAAAAAAAACATAAAATATAATAACACAAATAAAACATAAACACTAAATCTTTATAACTTCATACAAAAAAATTAAATTAAATCCTGAACAATAAACTCTAAATCATTAATCCTAAAATCAAAAACCTGAACACTGAACACTAAAATCAAAAACCTATACTCTGAAATCAAAAGCCCGAATATTAATATATAAAAAAATCTCACAATTAAATCAAAAAAATATAATCCTATATCCTAAACCAATAAACAAAGAAAACTTTAATACAAAAACATTACCCTAAAATAAAAACAATGACAACTAAAAATTAAAAATCGAACATTAAAATAAAAAACTGAACCCTAGAATTTGAATCCTGTACCTTATAAAATAAACACTGAAAACAAAAATCCTAACATAAACCCTAAGAATATTACCCTTAATCCTGTATCTTACAACTAAAACTAATATGTAAACTCTGAACCCTATAACATAAACCCTAAACCATGAACACTTTAAAATGTCATATTTATTTTTGTTACGAAGTAATATACCAATAAATAATTAAAAAAATATATTATAAAATTTTAATGATAAATATACATTTTTACAAATAAGGAAAATCAAAGAATATAGAACGTTTTATAGAATTATATAGTATTCCTATAAAATAACCCATAATAAAAAAAAATTGCATATATAACAATAATTAATATATGACGATATATATAAGTCAAAATCACGTGTAAATTATATCATAAACAGAATTATTTAGATTTTTGTTAATCATAGCAATAATATATAAATAGTACTTCGTAAATATAATATGGAGCGGCAGAAGAAATTAATGAGTCAAAAAAAAAAAACGAATTTTTTTAAAACGACTATTAAATTTATAGCGCAATCAAAAATATTAGAACCTTTTTAATTAAAGCACTCAAATGGATCCTTATTAATATAAATTATATATATAATTTAAATAATCATACTGTGTATAAAATAAAAAAAACTATAATATTCAATTTTATCAATAATATATATGAAACATTGCTTTATAAACATTGTGTTATGAGAATATATATTATATCTCTAATGGACACTCATAGATATTATTCAGAATTTCAAATAGTTATTTTACTTATATATTTTAAGAAATCATGGAATTTTTAAAGTGTATAAATATATACAATATATCCTTACTAAATAGTACATCAAGTTAAACAATTATATATCATAAAATATTATAAAAATAAGACAATACCATAAACATGAGTCCTTAATCCTATATAGCATTATATATTTTTTTATAAATTTTATTAGGAATATTTCAATATATATGTAAATATTTATTTAAATACCTAATTTTTTTATTTTTTTTGTATATGATTTTTTATAATTGGTTAATAATGAACAATTATTTAGGGGTAGGTTTCTTATATAATATAAATTATTATTTATGTTAAAATATCATATTTCTTCTTAAATCAATTATTTTATTTCTTGTTTTAAATTCATAGGACGAGGAACTTAAAAATTTACATTCAAAATTGAAGTACGCTGAGTTCGATAAGAAATATGTAAATTGTGAGGGCCATAGTATTCCTATTGATGCAAAGAGTTTCATAAATAAATACAAGTGGTATGAGAACGATTCTAACAAAATACTTAAAGCTTTTTGCTATGCATATAGAACAAATATGAAAACAGATATTAATGAAGATGATTGTGATTATATGTTCTTTTGGTTAGGTGATATAGTATATAGAAATTTAATACAAAAAGATTTATTTTCCAATGTTATGGATGGGCTTAATTTTTTTTTAAAAAGTTATGAAGGTTTCGGTATATGTAATTATTATAAATATGATAATTATTATAACACTCATCATATTTTTATGGGCATAAAGAGATTATTTGATTTTTCGAAAGATTATGATATACTTGAAAAATATTTTCAAACACCTAACAGGTCTTGTAATGGTTCTTTTAATTTATATCTCGACCAAGGTGTCATAAAATATAGAGAGTGTAAAAACAGTTGTAATAATCCTTCAAGAAGGGATACGACATGTAACGCATTTAATAAATACTTTAATGATAGGAATAAAAATGATTTAAGAGAATGGACATGCAATTCAGTAGGAAATGGTTCTAGCTTAGCAGAAGTGCAACAATATTATGAAGAAGTGGTACAATCACCTCCTTATGGAGAAGTAAAAAGAATAGAGAATCCACCAAGTGTAGATCATGGAGCACCTGAGGCATATGAATCTAGGATAGAGGTACCTGGGTTACAAGAATCTGGAATAGAGCCACCTGAGGGAGAGGCACATAGAGATATACAAATAGAAACTTCAAGTAGAACGACATATCAAAATGAAGATCATAGCGTACGTTCGATTTTATTTAAAGAACACTCAATACATATACCTTCAAATGATTCTACATTGAGGTTTATAGGTCCCAAAGTAAATGCCTTTACTGATAATATAGATGATACTTTAGATTCTTCGTCCTCACAGGGTATGATTATTGCCCCTTTAGTTATAGGAATTACAGTTTTCTTTATTATACTATGCAAAGTAATTACAAATCTGAATTAAAAAGGAATATATATTACATTATATTTAATAAATTTCATTAATTTTTAATTTTTACGAATATTATATATAAAATATGTACTAAATATTCCATATTTTCATCAGTTCACTCCAGTTGAGTATTGGTTAGAAAATGCTTTTCTGGGAAAATCTAAAAGGAAACATAATATTATAATGAATAGGAATATAGCAGAAAATTATACAATGAGAGAAGATATACATTCAGCAAGAAGATTTAATGTAACGTACAGTAATATATGATAATTCTGCTAAGGATACACTGAAGAATATTTTTGTTATATACTTCAATATAATATTAAGAACAGATTCACAAAAAATTCATCTAACAAAAAGGAAGGTATCATTTTTTTTTTTTTTTGCATATACAAAAATAAATTTTAAATGTATATATTTATTTTATAGATAAGTGTATTTTAAAAATTACAATATTTTTATTCTTTCAACATTCATAAAAATATAGTAAAAATTATACACATACTACCTCGAAAATGTAAAATAATTCAGAAATAGAATCAGAGTACAATGCATTGATCTGCTGTTGTGCCCTAATATTTATGGTTAATTTTTTAGTAAATTATTACTTCGGGATATATGTTTTTTTTTTTTTTTTTTTGTAATATATATATATTATTATGTAGTGATGACAAACTCAAGAGAAATATTATATATTATAAAAATATACGAATATATATTATATTCATTAAATTTTTTATATTAATATTAACTATATTGTTGTGGTATTACTAGAATATTATCGTGAATATACGATTTTAAATTCTCGTAATATATTCATTAAATATAATGATATATAGTTCGTAATTTATACTCATTATGAATTATAATAAAATTATCATCAATTTATTATACATCTATTTTTACTATTTATATATTTATCATGGCTATTTTTTTTGCTTTCCAAAAATTTGATGCACATTTTATTATGTGTAAGTAAATACACAATGTATATTAATCTATGTTTATTTATTTGTAATTATATTTATAATTAAAATAAGTGTTTTTACAACAGTTATTTATTTTATACATAATACAGAACATTATATATTTTAAATATTATTAATTCAATTAATATCATTAAAGGTATTCATAGCAAAATATACATTGTTATATAAATTATAACTGTGAATCATTTAATGTACTATATTTTCTTTGTGAATTTCATTATACTTGTCTGTGTAATTTATCATTTCTGTATGTTTATATGGTTATAGATTTTAACTTTTGATTAGAATTTATAGTTTTTATATTATGCATACTAATGCATATATATATTAATTATTGGATTCATAAACTTTTAATTTCTTATATTTATAATATACGTGAAGAACTATTATTAACAAGTGTTATATATTTAATAACTAACATATGATTTAATATTTGTGAATAAAGGAAAATCACTGTTTGTTCAATTATTTGTAATATTATTACACGAGTGAAATTTATATAGAGTTCTCTTAATATGTCTTTATATTTTTTGGTTATTTATGGTTATTAATATTTTTTTTTGTTGTACTTGATTAATAGATATGTAATATTATAACAGAATAAATGTGATTTCATTTTCTATACTACACATTTATATATATTGGAGATTTTTATAAAAGAGTGATTTTTGAGATTTATTTTAATATATTTTCAGTTTACAGAAACTAAATTAGTTGTAAAATGAAAATAATAATACATAATAAATAACTGAAGTATATTAATTCTATCTAAAATATATATAAATATATTTTTCTTTAATGAAAATATTTTGAGGAAAAGATATTCTATAATTAAATAAAAATAGTAAAAATGGAATCCAGATAACCTTTCATATATATTTAATATGGATAAAATATGGAATTGACTGTATATAAAAAATGTATTAAGGTGAATGACTGTTATAATTGCAATATATTTAAATGTTCTCTTAAATATGACAATATGAAACCTATAAACACTGTATATCACTGCATAATTATTAGAGCATTATATAATTATAAGTGTTAAAAAAGTATTAAATAAATAGAAATGTATATATTAATCTATAAATTGTGATTTAACATATTATGTATTTTGTATAATGCAGTGTAATAACATAATTATAACACTTTAATGAGATTATAATTAATATTTCTTAAAAAAAATATTGGTATTACAGTGTCTTATCAAAGCATGATGTTTAAGCTTTATATTAATAGAATTAGAATTTTATTTTTATTATGTTCAGAATTATTTAAATTTATAGTGTAATGTTTTATATTTATACAAATTTATATTACTCAAATAATTTGATTTATATAGAATTACAGCTTAATTATGAGGATTTAAAATCAAATATATTTTATGGTTATGTATATGTAAAAGAATAAAGTCTGAATATAATCATTCAAATTCATCATTTTTTTATATCTATTTTTTTTGTATTACATATTGGAGCGTATTATACATAATGTTGAAAACTAATTGAGTTATTTGTAGTGTAAATATTTAAGAAAATTGCTTTCATGAGATATATAAACCATGTATAGATTGTCAATATTATAATTTACGTAAAAAATTAATATATTAAATATAATTCTCAACTTCTTTAAATATGTAGTTTTAACAACTATTAGTTTTCAGTGAGTATTTATAGATTATATATTTTTTCTATATTTTTATAACAATCATACATATTATATAGGGATAAACAAAAATTTATATTACATTTTACTGAAAATAATTAAAATTAATGCAGTTTTCTATTTTTTATGATAATTTTTAATATAAATATATGCTTGATTTCTACTTTATATAAGTAAAATGCCTATTAATAATATTATGTTATTTAAGAAAATTTAAATTGTATATAGTTTACTTTTTTGTGTTAATAATTTTTTAGAAGTATCATATTAATCTATATGCTATTTCATATT